TGAAAGCCATATGTGAATGGCAACGGTTCTGAAAGTAATATTCCATCTTCTGAATAACTACTGATATAAGGAGGTGCTATGTATTTGAATTTACTCCCTTTCAAATAACTCCACCTGAATGAGAATACCTGCTTTAATAGTCACCTTCATGAGTGTTTGCAGCACTTTCCATAATTTCATACAAAGTTTTCTATTCTCAGTTATCAAATTAGAGGCATTTTACCCTAAGGCTTATTACACCGTTTTCTATAACAAGATATATTGGAACCTCTGATCAATCATACTGAATATTAAAATAGATACAGTTGGACTTGGGATATTGAATTAATCCTTTTTTCTTTGTTTTCCACAGCTGACTTTGAAACACCTTATCCTATTCTTCCCTTTCACTACAGTCCATCTGTGAAAGAAAAAACAAATTTTTTAGTTTTGTCTGAGATGCAAAAACTTAAAAGAGAACCTCTGCCAAGAATTCTGGATAAAAAATAGGTCAGATGAAAACTCAGGTATGTTCCTCAGACATCTGCCTCTTAGTTCTGTTGGTTATTGCTTGTACAGCTCTTACTGAATCAGTTGGAAAATGAGTACATGAAGATAGAATTTCATCTGAAATAAGTTTCAGAGTTTTTTAAACATGTTATATTTGTTGTCTTTATTTCTTTGAAAGACAGGATAATAGATGTCAGTTTATGGTTAAAAATCAGTAGACTAGCTAATAGTAACAACTTTACTGCAGTGTTACTAGTTTCTGTCATACGCATTCCATTGTAACCTTCCACAAAGGTAAAATGGTGTGGAAGCTAATTCTTGGAAGTACAGTTACTGTCAACAATATTGGTGAAGGTTGATCCCATGTACTCAGTAATACGCAGAAGGAGAAACAATCCCTTTTCATCCTTATAGCTTACTTCTAATAGACATGTTCCAGTCTATTAGAGACTTGATTAGCATTTTCCTGTAGCATCAGCTCAAGACCATCAAGATAATCAAGAAAGAAAATCTGATGAGTGTGCCTTACAGACATTTAGACATTAGATGAATTTAAACTATTCAGAGTTTAGCATGTGTATTCCTTACTCACATAAGCAGCCTTGTGAACTCTGATGCAAATATTTGTGGAAACAAAACCTGTTCATTGGGATTTGCAGTTTGGAACCTATAGTTTTTCCAGATTTACCTGTAGTAATAGTTTAGTTTAGTTCAGTATTTGGGACCTAATATCACTCCTTTCAGATTTTTAATGTAACTTTTAACCTAACTGTTTTATCATTTATCAGCTGTACTGGCTAACAAAAAAATCATCACTTATGCAATGCTGTAGATAAAATGAATAATTAAATTCAACTGACAGGTATTCTTTTGTAACTATGTTACTAAATGTAGTGTTTTATTTCATGCTCAAATCAGAATTTATTAGTATGTTTGAAAATGTAACTGACAAACATTTAATACTGTTTTGTTCTTGACAACTTACCACTTTCCATTCCATCCATTTTGTTCCTAATGATTATTTGTTCTGATTAAAAATAGCTGCCTTTCCTTTGAGAAGGGAAGAAGAATTACAAATCATAGAGCTGCTCTCTTCCACAGTATCATTTTTGTTCTGCATATGACAATGGATATATTCTGGCCTAAAAAGAAACTGAACTTGTCATATACGTGCCCATTCTTGATTTTTTTTTCCTGCTGCAGGAGTGGAGAAGTTTAAAAACAAGGACTGAAGGAACAATGCACTAGTTATCACAAAATAGTACTACTGTGTGATTATTTCCCAGTGAATAGTCCAGGCTTGTGAAATTTAGAGGGCTTAATACTCATGCCATACAAACATGCATTTTTTTTCTTTTAATTCCATTGTAAAATGAGTTTATCCACATGTTCAGTGTTCTGTCAGCCTGCATTTCATCTTTATTGGCATTCTGTCTTTTGGGCCAGGCTGTGTCTTTTGGGCCAGGCTGAATAAAACTACACTTTTCATTTACAATTCCCTTTAGTTCTAATAAAGAATGGAACATGCTTGTACAGCACCTCTCAGAAAGTTACTTTCATCAGCGTAACAACTTCCACTATTTCCTTTGACATAAAGCATTCTGATACTGCTCTACTATGTTAAAAAGCTGTCCAGTTGTTGAGCTTCTTTGCTTGACAAAAATTTTCCCAGGGTTAAGCTGGAGTACAATCATGGCCCTGTTGAAATTGCTTTTGACCCTAGAAAGGCAAAGATTGCATCGTTCGTACTTGATTGGAATAAAATGTCTATATTTGTATTAATTCACATTTGCAAATTAAACAATTTCAGTGATTTTGATTTTTTTCCTACTATTAGTCTAGAAGAATTTACTCTGATCCACATAAAGGTTGGAATAAGCTACAGTCAGATGGCATGCATTTAATATTTTCAAAAAACTTTTAAGCGGGACTTTTATCTTGGACACTGAAGGTTGCTGTACATTACAATTTCATGTGTAATCACTGATCTTGAGAAATACTCTAATCTTGTTACTGGTGGAATTCCATGGAAACCAAAGAGTCTTGGGAATTGGTTAGAGGTTGTGAATTCTTTAAAATGCTTTTTTGGGGGGGAAAAATAACTCAAAATACAGAAATATTCATTCTCAGAGTATATGCGGATATGAAATAATGTCAAATCACAGTATTCCCTTGCCAGTTCCGGTAATTAGGGATATGCATAAATGTGCCTACATGTAAAGCAAGGAAATTTTGTCAAACTGAACAAATACCTGTATTGTTCAATTGAAATTCAGTATCGGACCAAAGAAATTAGTGAATTTTAATCCTACCCTCTGTGTTAGTCAAATAAATTATTCCAACAGATGTTTCCTCTTTCCCTGTACACGCTAGGTGATGTTTGACCTTGGCAACTGAAAAACAGGCATTAAATACCTTTTTAACCTACATCTAAGATCCACTGAGGATTACATACAGCTTGAACAATGACAAAAGCCAGTTATTACTAGATTACTGAAATATGTCATTAATCTTTCTTTTTTGATGATATAAAAACAATAGCAATTTTATATTGGATTTTAAGTTAGTTTTGAACATTTAGAGAGAATTACGGATATTGACAGGGAGTAATTAAAAGAAAACAAATCACTTAACTATTTTAAAGATACCTAATACCTTCCAATGGGATACACCATTATTAATTTTCCCTGAGTAGAGAAGTTGTTGAAATTTTGATGTTGTAAACTCCTCTTTCCCTGTACACGCTAGGTGATGTTTGACCTTGGCAACTGAAAAACAGGCATTAAATACCTTTTTAACCTACATCTAAGATCCACTGAGGATTACATACAGCTTGAACAATGACAAAAGCCAGTTATTACTAGATTACTGAAATATGTCATTAATCTTTCTTTTTTGATGATATAAAAACAATAGCAATTTTATATTGGATTTTAAGTTAGTTTTGAACATTTAGAGAGAATTACGGATATTGACAGGGAGTAATTAAAAGAAAACAAATCACTTAACTATTTTAAAGATACCTAATACCTTCCAATGGGATACACCATTATTAATTTTCCCTGAGTAGAGAAGTTGTTGAAATTTTGATGTTGTAAACTTAAACTATAACCAGCAGTTTCTGCCCACATTTCCTTACCCATGGAATTAAATACTGTAGTAGGTTTGCAATTCAGAATTTGGTGGGAAAGTCACCTTTTGTCTCTTCCAGTGTATGCTATGTAATTGGCAATATCGTAATATCTTTAAATGATACAGTCAGCATATAACAAGTACACTGGATTGTGCCAACTAATCATAAGCCACTCTCCTAGTGACCCTGTATAGTTCAAGTTCTAGTTCACATGGAAGAAACTTGCAGTAAGCAATGTTAGTTCCCACTCTTCTTAGCTCTTCAGCCTACAAGCACTCGAACTGTATTCAGAATTAGGTGCGTTAAATATTTGGAGATACCAGCTGGAGCACCTTGGCAGAGCTGAACAGACGTGGAGTGCCTTTTCCAGCAGTTACAGCCCATCTCACTGCCTTTCCTTGGTGGTGGTGTTGAAGGAAAAAAATGCAAACATCTTAGTGAGGAGGTCTAAACGTATCAGCAGCAATTAGTGATGAAGGCTGTGGAGAAGAAATGTAAGGAATTTACTTGCTGTTGAATTATTCAGCCATGGTATGGGATATGAGAGGAGTCACTGTAATGCTAGATAGAGTGTAAGGATGAAGCGAAGTTCCGAAATTAAATAGTGTTGCTGAAGCAGAGCTATTTGAACGCAGATCAGGTATAAACAGTTTCTGGTTACTATGACCCATGTAAGGTCTCAGCGGGCAATTCATCAATTTAGTGGTTGGTTCCCTTTTTTTCTGGAGGTATTCACTACCTGCAAAGCTGAGTGTGAGTGCATCTATAGGACCGTAATTAATGTTACAGTATTGTGTATCTTCATGGTATTTTCTGTATCCATGTTTACAGTCTTGCTGAATTAATTCAGCTGTATGTGGTGCTGAGTGATTCTGCCGTTGATAATTCGTGGCATTCAATCTGTTTACAAGGAAAAATATAACTCTCATTACAAACTTGCAAGATTATGTACAAACAGCATTCTCTTCTCTCTAAACTTAAATTTCAGTAGTAATAATTAAAAAAAAAAAAAGTCGTTTTAATATATGCTTAATCTGTAGTACTTTACACTGCCACATCATTCAACATCCCACAGATAGTGATAAAAGGCATCCCTTTTTGGCCATGAATTCTGCTATTTACTTGGAGGCTACTGATTTGGAAATTATCCTTTCTTTCCTATGTCCATGCCTCCCTACTCCCACAGTTCTCTGTGCTGCTGGCTGTGCCCAAAACTGGGAAAGAGAAAGGCCCTAAAATACAGTAACAGAGCACAGGCACTACTAGACCCCCTGTGCCCTTGAAAAGAATAAATGCTTTTTTCAAATCACTCAGAGAGAGTGCACGTCTCCCGATGAGCAGGTTGCCAGCTAGACCACACGGACTCCTACATGTCCGGATGACCAGATACCATATAGACACATTCTTGTCGGGAGATATATGCCCGCTGATTGGCAAGCTGTCAGGAGCACATTTGCTTGCATTACTCTGCTGCCTCTTCCAGGAGATACGTGCTGTTTCCCAGAGCTTAGAAGACCAAATGGCACATGCAACTTGTCAGCCAGTAGTAGGTCAAAAAATTACCAGGGCACATCTGGGTCCGCAGGCTGTAATACACTTTCAAGAACGTTGAAACCCAGACTGTTTGAAACCTTCTACATAAAATACATTAATATTTAGAATCATTTAAGTAGGAAAAGACACTTACGATCATCGAGTCCAAACATAGGTCAGTAACATTTTAAACAGAATGCATCTACAGAGAGGGCTATTCAGTAACTTCAGAGCGAGTTGCATCTTGTAAATGGCTCCATCAAAATTGTATCAGCAATGAAGCACTGCTTTAGGAGGTTAAAATAAACATAAAGTAAACTCCAGTCTTTGCGTATGTATTTTTCAGGTGTTATGGGTTCACTTTAATAGCTCCTAGATTAGTGAAACAGATAGACAGTATGCAGGGTTTACTTTTTTCCTATCCTTGCATCTTTGTTGTCAGTAGTTTTACAGACTACTGTTGAGATAAAAACTCAAAATTTCATAACATCAGAACTGTGCTTCATCTAATCATCTGCATTAGCATTGCACATTTTTGATTGTGTAACTACTTTACAAAACTGTAAAAATCACTTTTATATACACAAAGTATGAATCAAATTAACAAAGTAAAGAAATAATGCTGTGGTTTCAGGTTTTTAAAACAGATACCTGGATGGGAGATTTAAAAACTAATTTTAGGTTAAAAAAAAAAGACTGCTACTTGAATAGGGTTATATAAATAAATTCTGTAATAACTTCAGTATAACCTTATAAGCTATTCAGTTGAAGTCAGTTCCAATAAACTAATTTACTGCAAGAATATAAACACTGTTTTGATATTTGTCTTCCTGTATCCTATAACACATTCTGTAGGCATACTCCCATATCTATGCAGATATAAAGCAATGCATAGAACTGCCTGTGATATAGCTATAAAAGCGACACAATCCAAAAGTTCTGAGATTGGGGCAGAAAACAAAAAAAAAAAATAGCCAAAAAAATTGAGTCAGTGTTCAAGATGTGCTGATTGATTTTTCAGGATGCATTATTTAGACACATGATCTGTTAATATGGGAGAGTTTGTGATTGTAATTCAGAGTGTAATTGATAAAAATTGATAAAAATAAGGGATCTGAAAGGCTCTCGTTTTTCTTATGCTTTTTAATCTCGGTGTATTGTGCAAAGTAGCTATCCAGACTAACAGAGCTCTGAGAGGAACCAATTAATATATGCACCTGCTTATTTACAGTCACTAAATGATAATTGTTATATATTGTGACTGTAAACAATAGATTTTACTTTGCTAGGAGAAAAAAAAAAAAGTGGTTTTATTTTAAGTTAAGTGGCCTTGAAGGATTCTAGGAGTTCACTGCTAAAAAAATACGTATTTGAACCTTAGTTCTTCAATCGGATAGCACTGTAACCACAGACTGCAGAAATGACTGACTACATCTTTCTGTTCTCTTAATTCTGAGCAGAATTAATTGCTGCATCAAAACCAAGATAAATCAGAGCCAGCTGTGCAATGATCCGTGTAATAGACTAATACTTTAATTCAAAAAGAGATTTGGAGCAGTAAGATCTTCCTTTCTTGGAGAGTTAATATATTAGACTGTCGTAGTAATCACTAATTACATGTCCAGTAAAGTTGAGTATAATCAGTTACGCAGTTTGTAGTAAAATGTTTTGGAATAAAAGACTGAGTCTTATCTGATTTCATTTGTATGATAAATTGCTTTGATTATTACTAAGATTTTGTTTCTTGTGGTACTTGAAAATTATCAGTATTTGATTCAAATTTATACAGCCAAAATTTTTGTGTGTGGCAAAAGCCGGTCAGTTTAATAATAAGAGTATATATAATACCCCAGATTCTCATGATTATGTCACTTCAGATTAGTCTGCCCTCAGGTTTGGCACTGTGGGGAAAAAAAAGGGCTTTCATTGCATCAGTTGATATCTTCACAACAGGTAGTGATTTTTTTTTTTTTTCATCTGCAGCTTTTGGTAACACAGATTATAAATTTTGTAAAAATGTTGTGTGGTCCTGGGAAGCACTAATGAAGACAGAAGCGATAGGGGCTTCGGTGTGGTTCTGACATGAAGACCTCATCTGTGTTCTCTGATCTCTCTGATGTAGGTTGAGGAGGAATCTGAAGTAACGGCAGAAGTAAGTTGAATTCTAAAAGCCAGAAGTTACAGGATGTGAAGATTTGGCCATTACTGGATTATTTTTTTTTCTCAAATCTTACAAAGAAAGATATTGGCATCTCTTTGGATATGTTATCTGTGTCTTTGTAATCTCAAAACCAGACAGAATGAAGTATGTTGAACTTAACACTGCCTTTTAAGAGCATTCAGAAAAAAAAGGTGACTGCCTATTTCTTTGGAAGCAATGCTTTGTATTAAAAGCATGTAAAAACACCAGCACGTGGTAGGTTAAACTGGTCACCTACTTCTTAAACTTCCTGAAGGAGTTGTTTTTAACCCATGTCTTACCTAGTTTGTGACATGAATACCTGAGTTACTGCTGCTTTCCATATATGATACTCAGCAATGATGCAGAGGCATGCTTACAGTGTCTTACTTCAAGATTTTTGGATTGATAGTCCTAAAAAGTAATTTCCATCATTTGGATTTTTCCAAGTTCTGGTGAATAATGTGGAATAGTTACGAAAGAAGGCACTAGAAGATTAATGATACCTGTGCTTATTAATTTTTGGATTGGGAGTATTACACATTAATTTTACTTCAAATTCTGCTTTAAGTAACTGGGACTTGAGTTTGGCGGCTTTTCATTAGTTAGAGTAATTAAATGAATGCTCAAGACTTCTGATATAGGAAAATTCCAAATGTACAGATAAGGAAAGGAAAGCCCAGATTGCAAATTGGCCCTTGAATAAAACCTTTCCTAATGGTGTTTCTCTGATGAACGTCAGCTCAACGTCTTACACTTGAGATTCTCTCTGAGGTAAGAAAGGAGTTTTTCCTGAATAAGGAAATCAGGATCTGTCTTTTTGCATTCAATGTTTTGTGTATTTTGCTATTGTTTATATTTTATTGCCCTTTGATAAACACAGTTCAAATAAATTTAACTCCTGCATGCCTTCTCCCCTTGAATAACAAGACCCTTATCTTCAGATTTTCAAAACTAAGGAAGTAAGTGAGTGTTACTATAACCTTGAGGTGCCACTTGCTTCTGCTAAAGCTAGTGAGTGAATTGCCATCAGAATAAGAAAATACAAAACAACAAATAGAGCTCTGATGGGTAGCTGTCATTACTGGTCCATTGCCAAAATTAGTATTAACTGGGCTTGATGCTTATTGTTTTAGCTGTCGTCATCAACGATATTCAGGCAGAACGCAGAAAAACATACATTAAAAAAGCTGCATCTTCTTTAGACGATTCCCAGAGAAGAATGTCAATACTTTTGGTGAATGTTTGAAGCGGCAGCTGCTGGATTACTGCCTCAGTGCAGAGCATGGGAAAGTCACCTCCCGATCTCTATGGCATGGCATTACCTGGGGAAGCCGTTCCACCCTTACTCTTCCTCTGCCTTCCACGCACCCACTTAAAAACATTTGGTGGATTTTTAGGATTTCTCAATGTGTGTTATGCCAGTAAGCCATCTACAGTGTGACTTACTTTTCACAGGTTCTGAATATTTCCAGCTTTAAGATTGTATTGTACATTACGTAAAATATTTAAGACCCGAATGAATTACTCCCTGGAGAGCGTTTCACACAGAGATTCCTGCAGCCAAGCAGCTCATGGCAAACCCCTATCAAATTCTTCCATTGGTGAAACAGCAAAGCAGGTCTTGCTCTCTCTGGATCTATTCTCCCTCTCACTTTTTACATTCTGTAACAGCTTGGCTACATCCCAGCCGCATACGTGTATGTTCAGTCCCATTCTCCGGCCCGCTGTAACCCCCTGCATTTTAAGTCTGCGATTCCCCTTGAGTGCCATCATTCACGCTGTCATTTCAGGCATAAATCCTCACACTTCTCCCACTCCAGCAAAGTCAGTCCTTACCCTGCTGGGCTCCCGCGCCGCTCGCTCACGTTGGCTGCCACACCGCACTTCTCACGCAGCTGCCAGCGAGGGAAAACTGTAAGCCAGGTCCCTTCGGGTTCTCATCCTTCACCCCGGTTTTCCTTCCTCTTCTCCTCAAGTGAGAGCGGCTGAGCTGACCTTCCAAATGGGACACCTCTCTTGTCATCTAGAACGGAATGGGTTTGAAGTATTTCCTTAAATATCTGTGGGTGTGAAATGGAATTACAGTAGGATCTCAGTAGCCAAGTCTTTAAAAAGACTTTAGTCTTTTTAAAATAATGTAAGACTAAGTCTTAATATTATGCTCTAACACTTACGTACACACACACGTACACACACACTAGAATGGAGCCCTTCTGATAGGTATCTTAGATCTATTTTTAAAGTGTTTATTACTGAGAAAAGTGGATGTCTGCTTGTTGGTGCGAGCTGACAGAATGGAATATTAAACTCACTTAAGCTTCCTTTTTGCAACTTGCCTCAGAATTTTGTGATTTTATGAAAAAAAATAACCAACCACATTTATTTTTAAAAATTTGGATTTATGACTGGATGGAAAAATCTAGAGAGAGGACCATTTTAAAGGGGGCCAGAAAGCAAAAAACCACCCTTTTTTATTGTTTTAGGGTTGTTAATGAAAATGTTCATCAAAAGATTTTGTAATTTAAAATACAATCTTGATTAAGACAACATTTTCGGAAGCTAAACTATTTTGATCAGCAAATTTGGAAGGAGAGATGAAATTAAAAATGTTTGTCCTATTTGCTTTTTCAATGTTAAAATCTTTCTTACAGCATACTAGAGAAGCACTGCTGTGTTCTAGTATACCAGTATTAAGAAGCAGCTCTACCTTTAGTAATTTAGGAAATACAATAAAAAGTCTTTTGCTGCACTTTAATATAACGTATTTAACTTCACTGCAGAATATGCTGTAGTCCTACAATACACTACCAACATGCCTTCTGAAGCAAGGAAAAAAGTATTTAATTGGAAATTATCAAAATTTTTGTTTGGGTTTGGAGTGCACTCCCACTATGAAATGATGAGTTTTCCCCCCGAAGCAGAAGTTCTGAATTTCAGCCTATTTTGACTCTCCCATGGCTGTGTCTCGCCTTTGATTTCCTCCCAAGCTACAGCTGGAACCAGTGGGACCTGACCAGACACAGCCCATGTGTGGCTTTGTGCTGTAGGTGTTTTACTGTGACAGGCGACATTTCTGCTGGTCCGTCAGCAGTACCGATAGCCACAGTTCACCGTTCCGGCAGACAAACCTACTTGTTACGTCCTAACACAGAAGTGGGAACGGGAGAAAATGAACAAATTGGAAAGAATTACCATGAATGCTCATGCTGAATTGGAACTGTAAAACCAGAAAATAATTTGACGCGAAGGGAATAAAGTGTACCTGGAAAAACATCATTTTGTCTCTGGTAGAACTTTGGCTTACCTAAATCACACTGGAAATCTGGCATTGCTCAGATTTGAAATATACTGTGGAAGGTAAGGCAGGAAAGTAATCTCAGACATTTAGCTGGGAAAGAAGAAGAAGAAACAGCTGCCGCAGCTTGTTATGGCTTTGGACTTAAATAGTGGATTGATACAAGAATATAATCACTGGATCTCTTTGTGGTTACTATGGAGGGGCAGTCTTCTGGTGGGAGAAAGTCTTGATGGGGCAAAGAGCAACTGTCCTTATATCTATTGTCTTTTTTTTTTTTTTTTTTTAATATCTCTAAAGCACCTCTTCTTTGGGAACTGCTAGCAGCCACGGCGGTGTCTCCAAACCCTGCTCACAAATCTCACCATGCAATCTCTCAAACTGCACTTTGCAGAAAGCTAAATTTGGAGTTTTCAAAAGACCTTAATGGGGTTCCACCACTTCTGTTCCACTTCCACTGGCTTTCCTGCACTGAGGCTGAACACAGCGAATGTACAATGGGAAAGTAAAAAAAAAATTACACCATTTTGTGTTATTAATTACATTAGAGAAGAAGAGCACAGTGCTCATGATCCGGTAATTTAGGGTGCCTGGGAAGTCTCTGGACACCTACTGTGAAGTCCTCTGTCCATCATTGATCTATGCATGTTGACACTGCTGAGGGTCCCATAGTCTCGTTAAAAGTGCTTTTGGAGTAGACACTCCTCGGGCAGGCAGACCGAGGACACCTCCGTGAGTTACGGGAGAGCCGATCCCCAGACTTGTGCGCTGGACCCAGTCAGAGCACGTTTGGCAACTACAGACTGAAAGAGGAGCCGCAGGGCAACCGGGGCTGGCAGGCAACTCGCCCCCTCCCCGGGGAGTCCGGGATGGGTTCTCCCGTGTCACGCCACGGTGTCAGCGAGGGTGTTTTCAGTCCAAGTTTAAGGAATCGCTCAAGAACTGCTTGCTGGAGGCTGCCGGAGTGAATTTCCAGGAGGTTTTAGCCGCGGGGCGGTTTCTCAGCGCTGACTCGCGGCGGGGGCTGCGGCAGCCCCGCGGGAAGGACGCGGGTCCCGGCCGGGGGGGATCGGGGGCAGGTGCCCGCCCCCGCCGGGTCCAGCCTGGGCCCTCCCGCCACTAAATCGCCCCTTCCCGGGACTTCCAATTATCGCTGAAGATTAAGCCCTTAATTTTCTTGGCTGCAAACCCGGTAACGGATCGCTCAGACTTTGTTTTTTTACTGCGCCCGAGGCTTGATTTATTGTGTCTGCGTTATCGCGCAATCAGGCTCCGCTCAAAATGTTTTTCCTGGGCTAATTCTATAGCCCCGCTATTTATTTTGACTGTCCCTTCTCATTAATGTTACTAATTTTTAATCGCTCCCCGTTCACTTTTAAATCGCCCCTTCTGCCTTCCCGGTCGCCCCTTATCCCCCCCTCTCCCCACCGTGTTTCCACCCACTCGTGTGGGTCGGTCCCCAACGGGAGGCGCCACACACTCCCACCCCCGCGGCTGCGGGACGGACCCTCGCCCGGGAAGAGGGGGCACCCCCCCTCCCCGCCCCGGGCA